ATTATGGGTTACTTTTGTTTTTTTTACTACATAGATTTCCATGTTCTTGCTTTGGTTTCTGTAAGGTGCATTGTGAATTACATTTACATTTTAATTAAAGCTATATTATTTTTATTGTTCTTCTTAAGAGTACAATGGCTTACATGTTACCTCTCCTCATACAGACTGATATTTTATGTTACATCTTAAGGGTTATAAGGGTATTTTACTGTTTAACAATGTTATATTATGTCTTTGGTCTGTGTTGTTGTTCACTCGTTTGTTTCACAATCACATATCTGATCTAAACTTGAGTTTATGTCTAATGCAATGTCTTCCTGAAACTAAAATATATATGTATATACAGCTCCATCAGTACTGATGTGGAGAAGACTCTAGGTTCTGTTTCCTTCACTAAAATCCACAGCTGGTACCCACAGACAGTGTAACACTGCCCCCCAGTGGACAGCTGCAGAACTGCAGATGATCTGAGGAGTGATGAAGATTTAGTTTGTTCTTTTATGTCAAATTAAGAAACGTCCCAATGAGTTCAGTCATGAGTCAGATCTTTGCAGAGCAGGTGAGGTGGTTTCTTTCAATGGGCCCAGACAAAACTAATTACTATTATTAACGATCATTCACAAATTAGAGCTTCAATAGAAAACATGACGCTGATGTCGTTAAGTAACAACAGATTAAAAAACTGAAACTCTCTCTGCATGAATGTGCCCACAGTATATTTCAACATTTCATTAAGCAAAGGCGTTTTGTAGTCTGACCAGTTTCCTTGCTGAGAAAAACTACAATAATTTAGGTATAGAGATGAATGATTTCATCCTAAAGATTGCACAAGTGAGAGAGATAACCAAGTTTTACCTTTACATTAGTAACATGGAAGTTGTGGGAAACGAAGCTAAATATAAATTGAGAACTTTTTTTGTCTTGAATAGCTGGTGTTATAAAAGTATAATATAAATGTCTCCACTATATATGTACTTTCATTCAAGGCTTTTTGTTGGACAATGAATACAGCCTGCAGATAAATCCTCTGAATTTATGTCTAAACATTTTTTTGTTGTTGACTTTAAAATGTGATTATTTTCTATTCACCCACACATTCTCGTGTATGTCGGATTTTTGAACCCCAAAATTTGACAAGTATAATTGAAATAGAGCAAATATGCAGACTGCATTCCATACACTTGTCATTTTTAGAGAGCATAGAAGCACCCGAATAATCCCCGTGCTCAGCGATGCGTCTTGCTCAGGACCAAAAACTCCTCCACTGCTTCTTTGTGGGACTGATGATGACCCACAGAGTGAACACTCAGTGGGACCAGCACCCTGACTGCAGGGTCTCCTGTAGTCAGAATTTATTAAGATTAAGATGGCACACATGTGAGAGAGGAAGGACCAGGAGTGAGTGAGTGTGTGTGTGTGTGTGTGTGTGTGTGTGTGTGTGTGTGTGTGTGTGTGTGTGTCAGGCTTCTTTTTATTGCCTGTATATTAGTGCTTAATCTGCCCTAACAAGATAGACTGGGACATATAGCCTCTCTGGTGCATCACTGATGATGGAGCCGGTAATGATGGAGAGAGAGAGAGAGAGATGGCAGCTAAGCCTGAAGTAAGCTACTTTAGCAAAGACGATGCACGGCTGGTCACACAGCCACTGGTGTGTGTGTGTGTGTCCAGTTATTTAATGAAATATGTAAAAAACCAAGTAGCTTAAAGCACATATAAGTCATAATGCTACTTTAGGTTTAATTTGCCTAAGTCACATGATGATAGAAATAAAAAGTGATTAGGCTAATATCAGTGAAATGCTCCCACATATAAACATCGTCAAACAACCAAATACATTAGACAGAAAATCAACAGAAATGTCGACTTGTCCTCTGTATACTTGAAGCAGCATTGTTGGATCTTTTTTTAAAGGTTTATCTTTGGGCTTTTATGCCTTTATTTAGAGACAGGACTGGGTTGATTTAGAAATCAGGGAGGGGGATTGAGGGGATGACATGCGGTAAAGATTGGATTTGAACCTGAGCCGCCTCATTGGAGGACTACAGTTTGCTAACCACTAGGCTACCAGCGTCTCACATTCCTGGAACTTTAACCGGGCAAGAGGAAAGTCTAAATGTTGCTGCTTTTTTATTGGATTTTTGAGTCTCTCTATGACTGGTTTAAAAATGAATGTTGCAGCTTTTAAGTAGTAAAAGTATGTGGATAATTACTAAAGAACATTTAGAAATATTCTTATTGCCAGTGTATCATCAGCATAGCTTCAACATAAAACATTTATATACACAAAGTATAGAAAATGATTCATCCTCTAAGAACTGTCAACTTCTGTTCAAGAATAGCTGCAAATCAGTCAAGCAGTTGTTTCTATACTTAACTAGGGGAAAAGGTCAGGGTATCTCCAAACTCTATAGAATTTATCCCCTGGGGAGCATGAACTGAGGTAATGAATGAGGTAGAGGCAAAAATCCAAGATTCATATCTCCAGCAATGTTGAATTTCCCCCTTATTTCAAAAAAGTTTCAGTTTGGAGATGGGGGGGGGGGGGCAGCAATGCTTTGCTCTTCCCTGGACTTCAAACAGACCTGCTACATAGCAGTTTCCATGCATGCTCAGGATCAATATCCTGCTGGAAAATGAATCCTCTTCCACACAAATTACTGAGCCAGGAGGGGTAGCACGCCTCTGCAAAAAAAAATGCAGAGGTATTTCTCTTGACAGGTGTGTAAGTGATCCATGTGTAAGTCTCTTGAAACAGCCCCCCCAGCTGAATACTTGAACCACCAAGTTGGTCTGGTGGTTTCCAGCACTGTTGCAATTCATCACCAACTGTTCCTTAAATATGCACATTCTTCACAACACTTTGAGGAGAGTTGAAGCTTTTGCCTCGTTTCACCTGTACAGCCAACGCTGAAGTTCTTTTTTCTATTTAACGTTCATTTCTGTGCTTTGTGGATGGGGTCTCTTAATGTCTGTTTCAGGCTTTATCGGGATATTTCCACAGTCGTGTCAGTATCTCTTCAGAAAGCTGAAGACAGCACCATAAACACATCTCATTTTGTCCTGTTTTTAGAAGATAATTATCAAGAAAAATGTCACCGAAGCCTCGTCATCTCACCAAAATAGATTTGTATTACTATAAGTTATTAAATGCCTGTTTGGAGTTAGGAAACATATGGCTGATATGGACAGCAATGGAAGTAAAATAGTGTTTCTATTTGAATCAAACGAATGGTGATAATGAGTGTTGGGCCTCAGCCATGTGCATGGGACAAGCGACTCAGGCCTGTATCACAGTTCTCAAGCCTGACTAGAGTATTTTGGAGGGAACTGAACAAAGGGGTCTTAGCCCAGCAACCCCCCAACAGAAACCAACAAATAGGTGTGAAAAGTGTGGGGGGGGGGTGTCTGAATTCTCTATCCTCATTGGAGGAGGCCTGAGGTAAACCCACAGACAGCTCCAGTCTTTAAAAGCAATCACCAGACATTGCTTCCTTCTCTTCAAGTGCGGTCTGCCGACACCAGAGGGTACCCTCTCCATATGATGGACTCCAGCATTCGAGACAAACCCTTTCCTCCTCTTGGCTTACATAGGTTAAACTCCAGAGCTGAGGTTGCTCAGTATAGGTAGCTCTTCACATGCTGAATTCAAGCATCAGATGATTCAGCTGACTACTTCCACGGCATATTTTTAGGAGTTTTGGGCGCAATCAGATGCTATCAGGTTCGAGCAAAAAGAAGAGCTTCTTTCCTTTGATTTTTCGTAAGACGTCATTGAACGCAACTGGACAGGAGCGCTGAAGGAAGCCCACTGATCCCTGAATCCACAAGGACACATAAAGAACTCGGGTCTTGCAACCAGAAGACCCTATAGAGCAGCGCTCTGGTCGAAGATCTGAATCCCGCTTCCCTCCTCCTACATCTGCCACGAAGGAAACCTGCCTGAATCTGTTGATTTAATATTCAACAGAGTGACGATCTGACCAACTTTGCAACGATCACCAGGAGTTACCCCAAGTAAGAGCTTTGGTCTGGGCAGAAATAGTTTCAGAAATAGTTATGTTTCTTTTATAACCACTGATAATTATGCATCATTGTTGACGTCACATTCTGTTTATTATCTGTTGTAAGATGCTGCATTTGTTTTATTGTTATGAACTGCTGTGTTCGTCTATGTATGTAATGCTATGCTAGTTTACCTTCAGTCAACGGCTTTCACAAACAGAAAGACCAGACCGATGAATCAAAGTCCGGCCACTGGCTTTCTGGTGTTTAAGTAACAGTTACTGAACTCAGCTCAGAGAGCTCAAACTATTTCAAAAGGCAGCCAAACGGCTTCCTTTGTTGTCCACATGGTGCATTGTCTCTCTCCACCATCTTGTTTGTTGCTTGGATTAGTTTATAATAGTTATTTGTTTAATTAAGTTAATTGATTTTGGATTGATGTTGCTTTGTTTAAATAAATTCTGTTATAATTTAAGAGAGCAGTTGTTTGTGGTTATTAGTGTATTTGCATTGTGATATAAGCTGGGTGCGAAGGCTTTGTATACGGATTTCACGCCATGCCTGATTGTTTAGGGTGAGAAGGCAGACTCAGAGGGAGGAAAAAAAACCCAGCTGTGCCCTTTGTGATGTCATAAAGGGGAAATCTCCAAACGGCCTGTTTGAGCACACATTTTCATGAAAAGTTGAGAAGGAAAAAGTCGGAGGGGTTGGACTTTTCTCATAATAGGAGGGTTTGTCGACAGGCTAGGGCCGCATGTTAGTCCAGTACGGAAGCTGTAGTCCTCCAACCGGGCGGCTCAGAATCGAATCCCACCGGTGGCTCCTTTCTCGCATGTCATTCCCCTCTATCTCTCTCCCTGATTTCAGACTCTATCCACTGTCCTATCTCTCCATTAAAGGCAGAAAAAGCCCAAAAAACCTTGGTCAAAAACATGGTCAAGTATATTATGCACAACATGGGTCCTTTAAATCCCAAAGACTTAAATGACACGTAGTTTGACATTTCAAAATGCTTTATTCATTCGACTGATTTGTATTCACGACAGGAGAAACTTGATAATGTGTGTATTGTGTAAAACTTGAAAAAGGTACAATAGTACCTAACAGTCAGATTGTTTGGGAAAAGAGTTTCACAAGCCACAGAAAGAATGCACAGAATGGCACAAGGCAGTAAACATAAGGCAGTATCCTCTCCATCAGTAAGAAGTACGAATTAAGGTAAACACTAAACAACAGACGTGGAGCCTGCAGGTAAATGAAGATACGCTAGAGCGGCCAAATGATGCAATGTAATAAGAAATTACCCTTTAAATTTGAAAACCCCACTTATCTGTCAAATGTATGAAAGTTATCTCAAACAAGATATAACCGGGGGAAAAATGTCGATGTACATCATTAGGAGTTACAAGAACGGTACTTTATCTTTAATTATGGGACGTATTGCTTAATTCAGATTATAGCTTCCAATCACTTCAGATGAACATTTTCACTAGCTGTTATCCCGCTGTTCTCACAGGCCTTATATCTAACATAAAGAATTTAAAAAAATCTAAAAAAATTAAAGACTCAGGCATTTCATCGAACACTTCAGGTGGACTACAACAAGAGCGACGTTCAACTAACAACACATTTGGCGTCTGCTTCAGCAGTGTCCAGAGGATCGGTTTTCAAAAGGCTTTCACAGTCTCAGGCGGGATTCCTTTGGTTTCTTTCGGTTGATCATTTCGGCCTTCCACCTTTCTCCTTCTCAAATTGGGCGATCTTACTGAAAATATCTAACAGGTTAGTGGGGAGCTCTTTTTTGGGCCTTACTGGAAAATCGCTCTTTTTGTTTTTATGATTTCCGGAGCCTCTTTCTTCTGACCTGCTGCTCTCTTCCTCTGGTTTCCCCTTAAAACTGTCCTTCTCTCCTCTTGTCTCTTCTGCCTCTTGAATCCCCCCCCTCCCTCTATTCTCATACCTACCACCATCAAAGGAGTTTCTCCTGGGAGAGTCGTGTCTCCCCCTGCTCTCGGGGTGTTTGGACGCAGAGTTTGCTAAATATTCTGATTTGGAACCAGATCTCCGCAAGTACTCGGAGTCAGCTGACGAGCAGGACACTTTCCTCTTTCTGTCCCCATCTAAGCTGCTCCTCCTCTTTGAGTCACTGTCTCTCCTGTTGTCCTCCTTTCCTCTGTCCTTGCTTTTATTCCTCCTTTCACTGCTCCCTCTCCCCCTCTCCTCACTGTTTTTCTTTTTCCCCGCCTTGCTCTCCTCTCTGTCCCTTCTCTTCCTTTCTTTGTGCGAGGAGTCGGACTCTTCGTCGTCTGAAGCGCCCGACAGAGAATAAAGTTGAGAGATCCTCCTGTCCTCAGCGTCCTTCTCCTCTACCTCCTCCTCCTCTCCGGACCCCGGGCCCCCTCTCTGGTTCAGAAAGGTGGCAGAGGTGTTGGGAGGAGCGGGATACCACTCCACCTCATCCTCCTCTTTCTCCTTTCTGCCTCTCTCGCTCTTACCCTCCTCACTCCGCCTGCTCTCCCTCGAGGAGATCCTGCTGTGGCGCTTACTTCCTCGCTCGGACCTCCTCCTCTTTTTCTTCTTCTTTTTGGACCTCCTGCGATTTGAGGAGGTGGAAGAAGGAGAAGAAGAGTCCTGCGAGGAATTGGAGGACGATGAAGAAGAAGATGCTGATCTCTTTCGTTTTTTTTTCATCCTGCAAAAAAAAAAAATACATTCACTGATGCATAAGCTGACAAAGCTGATGCATTTAAGTGTCACATTCCTTAATATGCAGTATATTTACCTTCACACCTTTAAAAGATCTGAGCCAACTCACCTCTTCTCCTCTTTTAAGATCTTACGCAATTTCTCAGCGCTGGTCTGGCTGCTTGTAGCTTTCTCCTGCTCTTTAGCGAGCGCTTCTTCTCGGAGGCGAATTGATTTCTTTACAGTCACCCGATTGAGGCAAAGCAAGTCATGACAACGGCAGGCAAACACCCATGAGGACATATTCAAGCATATGGCACGGCAAAAACCAAAGACGTGCAACAGAGACCCCCCCCCGCCCCGAATTGATTCATTCAGTCAGTCACAGTGACGTAAAGCGTGTGGAGAGGGATTGGTAGGTTAAAGGTTTTTAAAAAACAAAAAGAAAAGACCCCCACATAAACACAGAAGAATTAAGATATGTACAGAGTTGTTTACCACAGAGGAAGTGGTTGGATCCAACAGTGTAATAGTCGGTAAAGAAGCAAGACGGATGGACAGAGGCACAGGCGGGAGAGATGCAGAGAAATCAAAACAGCGTTTATTCCCCATTGAGACAGAGAATAGTTGCAACGTTACCGTGTGTGGAACCAGGGACACGGTGCACAGCGGTGTCCAGTGAAGGGGGTCGTCATCATCGTCCAGTTTTTATTTTTTCACGCCCCACAAGGCAGATGACAAGGCCATGGCAAAATTGGAGGATCAAAGGCGGAGTCCCGGGGTCACGGACACACACAAACACCAAAAACACTTCATCAGTATTACAAACCATAGTGTCATAAAAATCCTACCTAATCCATACCTAGTATTATTCTATTATTGTATTTTTTCTCCCTTTATTTAACTGATGTACATATGTTTGATTTTTAACTTCTTGTTATTTTTGATAATTATATTCCTGTTTCTTGAGCTGTTTCCCCCAAATTTCCCCAATGGGGGATCAATAAAGTTTATCTTTATCTTTAAGAATGAACCATCACTAAAATCAACAGCAGACACCTCAGGGAGGAGTCGAGCATTAGTTCCTGATGTTTGTTATCAGAAGACGTCTTTAAGCCCCCTGTGTTGTGGAAGCACGAGAAGCAGAACATGTTGACTAGGGTTGTCACAATACCAGGATATTAAACTTCAAGATAGAAAACCACAAGTGTCTCAACCCTGCAGGTCTGCTGAAACTCTCAGCTCTTTTAAATCGAGGTTGCAGCTGCCTTTAATTAAACAGCTTTAATGAGATTTTAAATTTTAACTCTGCACTGTAACTTTGAACTCTTTTTATATTTTTACTTTATTTATTTTAATTAATTTCATCTAAATTATTTTTATTCAAACATATTTTCAGATTTAATAATTTCAGTGATTTTTAAAAGTTCTATTTTGATGTTTCTTTTCTTTCCTCTGTCATGATGCTTTTGAAGTCTTGTGTGAAGCACTTTGAATTGCCTTGTTGTTGAAATGTGCGACATAAATAAACTTGCCTTGCCTTGCTCTGTGTCACCTCTGTTACTAACTCTGCTGCTGGCACAGCGTTAGGATGACTTGGTCTCGCCATCATGCCTGTGACATTTATATTGAAGGCGAGACGCTACAGGGGCATAAATATCGCTGCATGAACTGGCAATATAAATGGAGCTCAAAGTCTCTAAACGCACGCACACACACAAGCATGTAGAGCATACAGAGCTGGGTCAGTTTCTATTTATGCCAAAGGTTTCTTGTATAACATATTCTAATATTTTTACAAACCAGCATTTGACACATTTAAGGAGTCTAAATATGCAACATGTGCTGTCAGCGTCTCTACACTTTATTAAACGGCATTAGTAATAAGCACATTTAAAATCAAAATGTGTTTTCATTGTTAAATCTAAAATACACACAATGCTTGCATGCACAATTTCCTGCGCCTCTTTGCTTGCCTGTTAAATTCCTTTGTGTGAATGTGTGTGTATGTGTGTTTTGACCCACTCACCTGTATCGTGTCAGTGATCTTGTGAAGCGCCTCCTTCGCCTCAGGATTCAGGTCATCGAGAGACAGTGCCCTCCTGTACAATCCTTCTGCTGTTACTAGTTTCTCTTGTTCTTCGAGTCTGAACAGACAGAAGAAATGAGTCAACAACAACAACATTATTATTAACAGATTAATTACAATTATTACTCTAAAGCAATTTAATCATTACGCTTCTTGTGAGCACTCCCATATCTTTGTTATGAGAACAAAACATCTGCTTTATTGGGCCTCAGTGTTCTGTTGCTTTATAGCACTTTATGTGACGTCAACTCAACATTCATCGAAACCCTTCTTGAAATCGGTCGTGTGAATTTAAGTGTAAACTACTTAATTTTTAATAGGTTTGAAAGGGTGCTGAATCACGTTTTAAAAGTGTTTTCAGAAGCAGCCGAGGAAGTATTAAAACACTTCGACACTTTACTTCAAAAGAAGATGACTTAAAGATGACTTAAAGAGATCCACATATTTCTACTTAGCATGTCCTATCCTGCCAAGGCTTGGTATAAGACTTGATAGAAGATTTACAAGCCAAGCTTCCTTTATACATTTTCCATTAAAACTCCTTATTCTTCTAGACTCATAACTGACTTTTTGTTTTTATGAATGGTTTTCAATTCCAGCTGTCAACATGTCTGCAAAAGAAGGAAATGAACCAACTGTTGCTTTCTATTCTCATGTGATTTTTTCAATACATATTAATTGTTTTGTATTATTGTTTCCTAGTCCCTTTTATAACTAAGAACCAACAAAAACAAGTGGCTGAAGATGAAACAGTTTAATTTTCAAATTGTCGATGAAGTCTTATTTTTAACTTTTTTTGTTCAAACCTACAACATACACAATAAATGAAGAATATATAGATCAATTCAAAACTCAAAAAAGTGGAAATCTCTCCTTTGGGTTTTCATTACACCTGGACTTTGACATGAGATGTTTTTGATTAGACAAAAACTCACTTTATTTCTTTTCTGTACTATATTTATTTCCCGTTCTTTCAGTTAGAAATTATATTCCTGTAAGTGTCCTAAAACATCAACATACAGACTAACCAAAGCAACAACACCTCTGTACTATCATCAAAGCATAATAACTAGTTCTTACTGTTTTCCTCTCTCCACCAGTGTCTGGCAGAGGTACTTCTTGGCGTTGCGGTGATCTGGACAGTTCACCAGGGCCAATTCAAAGTCAGTAATCGCCTTCATGATGCTGCCTTTGTTAGCATACCTAAAAACAACCAAAGAGGGTTAAAGGGAGCTTTGATCGAAAGCATTCATAAGAAAATGAACCCGTAATGAAATAGTTGTTAAATGCAGCCTTAGTTTTAATGTATACACATTTTAACAAAACAATACTGCATTTTTTTTAAATGTGTCATGTAACAGGGAGACTTTCCCGGCAGTGATGTCATCACACCATTGCTTCAAAGGAATAATAAACACTATGTGTTTGTGGTATGAAGCTGAGCAGGCAGCACGCCTAAGACAGCTTCTTGATGTTTTACAGACCACAACATAATTGCAGGAACTGGTATGTTGTTAAATTCCTCTTGAGGTTTCCTCTTCACTATTCAGAGTGTTGTGACAATAAAGCTACACATCATGACATCAAGACTGGACTGTAACACTTGAAGGAGGTAGACTCACAGAGCCCCGCGTGCAACCAGTGCTTCGACGTTATTGGTGTCGATATCCAGGGCTTTGTTGTACTCATTCATGGCTTCCACATGACGACCATGTTTGAAGTGGTCCACACCTGCACGGACACTGAGAGAACAGAGACACACAGGGAACATGATGTTAATGTCAGAAGAAGACACTGCACCAAAGAGTGAGTTGTTCGCTTTATGGTGTAATGAGTCTCAGGAGGAACTCGTCCATCCGGGTATTTCCCCAAACACAAAATTAAATGTTTGGAATTACCACTTCAAGGCCCAAGATGCAGACTGCTTCTTCCGGATAACAGAGGCAAAATCCTCCTCTTGGAATAGTTTACTGTGGAGAAAAAAAAAGGGCACAGCTGTAAATAGGTGACATGACTTGGACCAGTGGATCTCAAACTGGTGGTGTCGGGAACAATAAGTGGGTCGGGAAAGGTGTGCAAGGAATAACAATTGTGTCAAAAAGAAGCACTTTATAACCAAGTTTGTTTTGTTATGTTCTTTGTTCTGTCACGCTTCGTACCATCTTGAGGTCCAAACTGCAACATTTTTCATTAAATCAAAATATATACATAATATAAAAATATCAGAAATTTGGGTTGCGATTTTTCATGAAGGAGTCGTTGGTGGGTCCTGAGGCTCCACCAGTTGAGAACCACTGACTTAGACAATGGACCTGTTTTACACAACAGATGGTTAATCCCTGTATGGAACATAGCCGTAACATTTACCAGTCAAGGTGGATCCTTTATTTAATTGAGGATAAACGTGAGTAACAGGTCGGTGCTATTACTGAGCCTTACTGGTCTGAGCTTGTTCTGTTCTGTTAGGCTATTCTCGGCTGCAAATCGTTGTTTGTTTCATGCAACACAACACGTTGTGACAAAACATATTTCACTCATCCACAAACACTCTCACTGCTCACTAAAGTCGTTGCTTTTGACTTCATGTTTTATATTTGAGACCATTTTTAACCCAGCAGACATGGAGCAGAAGTGGATGTGGGTTTGAGACACGATCCGTAGGAGGCAAACATACGGGGAATTTAATACATTATGGAAAGAGTGCTGGTGATATCAAAAACACCTTTCTATAAAGTTGAAAGATTTTCAACTAAAAGTGCTTGTAGTGACCCGCACAGAAAAGGCAGAGCGCTCAGAAAAAAGGTGCTAGGTGCTGCGCTTTTTCACTGGGTGGCCGCCTACTGCTGCAAACGCCTGTTGCTGCAAACGCCCTGCTGCTGAAAACATCCGTCAAAAGCCAAAATGACATTCTTACATGACACAATCCTCCTACAAAATATGAATCAATCAAATGTATTCATAAAGCACATTTAAAAACAGCAACAGCTGATCAAACTTCTGTACATGGAACAAAAGCAGTACTGGTAGTTACAGAAAAGGACAAAAACAACCAAACAAAAACCTCACACATACATGTGCGTGCACACACAAAATAATGACGTATGTGGCGGTAAAAGAGTCAGTCAGCGTAGATGTGTCTTACCTTTGTAGACCTCTCATCATTGACGGTGGATGGTCGTCGCTGATTCCCACCTTCTCAAGCAGGTAGTCCACTACCGACGGGTTGTGGTAACCATGGCAACTGTGCAGTATACACTCATATGTCTCACTGGAGTCAGCTGCTGCACGAACACTTCGACTAAAGAGGAGAGGAGTCAGAGTCTCGGGCTAGAATTATATACTAAAAGAAAACATATTTGTGACATACATATTTAACTATTTGTTAAATATAAAAACATTAAAAACAGCTACATGTTTTTCTCCATAAGTAAGTTCACTCACTTCTTACCATCTCATGCATTGTATAATGATTTTGAGCATAGTTAGTTTCAATAATGATGTCTTGTTAAAGCCTCCTTGAGTTCAGTGTTATGTTGTGTATATTATGTTGTGTGTTGTCAGGCTGTGTAGCTACCTGTAGTGTGTGGGCAGCTCCTCCCGGGGAATGACACCCAGTTTGACGTGTTCCATTTTGGAAGAAAGAGACGCCTGGTGGAGGGAGACTGTGACTTTCTCCTGGTAACGATCGATATCTTTCACTGCAGCTACAGAATGACAAAATCCAAATTAGGGAGAGGTTTTTAATAACTTTTCTGTCAGATATGACTCTCTCTCTCCCGTAAATGAACAGTTCCGTTTAAGGCTGAACTCACAGCGTTTCTGTGTTTGCTGTTGTTTTCTGATTGTGTGTGTTTTGACTTAAAAAAATGTCTGTACTTGCAGCGCGTTTGATGCTTATGCAGTTGTTTTGCCTATTTGCAGCGCGTTTCAGCCTTTGCATTTGTTATGGTAGTTTGCATTTGCTTTTGAATGTGCAGTGTTTCTATATATGCTGCGCATTTTTACAAATGTATGTCGTTTCATCAGTTGCTGAGCGTTTGACCCCTACCGGCCACCGTACATTTACCTCGGAAGTCAGAACTGGGAATGACGTCACACCCGAGTAAACTGCGTTCCAGTTCCAACTCGGAAAAGCAACATGGACGCTTCCAGGAGTACCTTTGTTTTGTTGGCTAATATCAGACGATAACAACACACTACGTGATAGTTTCTGACAGAAAATAATATGAAAACACCTCCACAGAGAGAACTGATTGATTTAATTACACAAAAAGACGACTAAGCTGCCAATAAACTCAGCAGTTACATCTTAAACATCCCTTTCGATGCACGTAGCAGCCATATTGGATCTGACCTCGGGGCTACTTTGTTCTCACCGAGTTTCCGAGTCGTAATTACGACTTCAGGGGGCGTTCCAGTTGACACTTCGAACTGGGAACTGGGAATTTCCCACTTACGAGATCAACTGGAACGCACCATTGCACACTATTTCTTTTAAAAAAAAAGGCTAAATCCAGGTGTGGAAAGTCTGTGCTAAAAATAGTTTCATGTAAAGTCACAACAAGACACTAACCTCTGATGAAGTCCCCAATCTGGTAGTAGGACAAAGGATCATCATGGCTTCCAGTGGAGGGAATTTCTCTAATGTGACAGAGAGCCTGAAGGCAGGAAAGAGGAAGAGGGGAAAACTAAAGGTTTGACTACATTTCTGTGGGAACACTTCAGCCTTTATCAAACAATGTAAGTACAGGGTATAAGAGGAGGAAATAAATGTTGTCGACAGAATGCATCTTACAGTATATAAGCATATACATTGGATAATATAAGATGTGCATTGCACCAAGACTCATATTGTTTATTCCCACTGTCAGACATGCAGGACATCTCAGAACCACTGAGTTGGCACGTTGTGTAAAACTGGACAACTAACTATTTCAAGTATGCTGTACATATAATGGTGGACTAACTGGTTTATAAAGTTTATTGCATCATGTTTGCACATTTAACTGATTGAACTTGTTGACCTACCGACAACTCCAAGTCTTCGATGTCTCTCTTCAGCCCTCCTGCCGTGCAGAGCAATGTCAGAAAGAAGCCGTATTCTCTAATGTTGTTGATCCTGCCCACCACAATATCTCCTTTTTCCAAATCCCTGTACAGCATGACTCGCCTCTCCTCAAAAGACGCCTCCATGAATAACTCCACCGGTGGCATCACAGCATAGGGCTCTGGGGAAGGACAGGTAGAAACTTGAATCATGTAGATGTTACAAAAAAAGTGCTTTTTAATCATCCTTACATTAAAAATCACACATGTTCTCTTTGTTTTGGTCTACATGTACACTTTGCCTGCCATTTTTCTTTTCATAAAAATGACAAATGTCTCCCAGGACTGCCAGTTCAGCATTTTAGTGTTGCCAAGGAAACCTGAGATTTTAAAAATTCAATGATATAAACTTGCTTTGTCACAACTGGGGTGTATGAGGAAATGAAAAGATCTCCTTTCTGTCACCTTAAACTTGCTCTGTTATCAATAATTGTAGATGGCAGTATAGAAAAGCAGACATCACAGCTGTTGTCATTATTTTATTTTCTTTAAGAGTTTTGTACGTTCACAACAGCTAAAGTCTGAAAAAAGTGTCTGTTTTCATGAACTGCTCCTCCTTGCTCCCTCTCCGCTCTGAGTCTGTCAGCTACACTCTGTTGAGCCCACACTGTTAGACCCCACGTGGGCCAAGTCTGCTCTGATTGGTCTGCCGATCCGCTCTGTCGTTATTGGTCAGTTGATCAGCACGAGTCTCGGAAATTTCAACATGAGCTGCAGGGCTTGCTACAACGAGCCAATGGGCTTAGATCAGTGATCTCACACTGACAATGACGTCGCACGAACAGATTTTTATCGAGGGGGGCTAGAACCGAGCGTTACATGCAGCTAATGCTACAGCTAACAGGAGGACGTAGGAGAAGCTGCGTTTCCGTGGACTTTGAATTTCTGCAAATAGATGTGCCTAAACATGCACAGGACACTTGGAAAACACAATAAAGAGCAAATAAAACCAGAAAAAAGCAGAATATGGGACCTTTAAGTGTTTCAAAAAAAATATTGAACTAAGTTTTCCATCTGTCTGACAGAACTGTTAACCATACAATTTAAAAACGTTTCAGTCATGTTTCTAACACCTTTAATGAGTGTAAATGAATGGTTCTGCTGCTCTTTAAACATATTACTCATTCTGTGCCTCCTATGTATACAAAGTGCTGCATGCGGAGTATGATGGCTGGGCTTCGCTTGATTAAACAAAATAACAGAAAGTCAAAAAACAGAAAGCAGAATTGGACTTTCCCAGACATCAACACTGTCAAAGTATTTTGTGGAGTATCACCTGCAGCGTCCTCCTCCTCTACTTGCTCCTCTTCCTGCCCCGTGGCGGTCTTCCATGATGGACAGAACAGGATGTCAGCCTTCCTGGCGATGAATTGCTCCACAAGGGGGTTGTCCTGAACTTGACTAACGCTGCACACACAGACAAATCAGCCAGTTAGAAAAAAAAACAATCATGTCACGTTTTTTTTGCAACGCATACCAAGGGGAAATTCAATTCGATTCAAAAAACTTTATTTGTCCCCAGGGAGGCAATTTAAAGGCACACAGAGCAGTAAATTAACAAGAGTGCAAAGTAGACGAAACATTTTAAACCTAAAATATAAAGTGTTAATTTAAATACAACTTAAAGCTTAACTTCAAAATACAAAATATAAAAGAGTAGATATAAGTGGACAGTGATCGGACTAACAGATGTAAACAGAACTATGTGCAGTAAACAAGAAATAAATATATATATACAGAGATATGTGCAAGTAGGCTAAATACTAAATGATAAGTTATAAAGGTGCATAATGGAACAGAACTAATATAAACACTACCCACATGACCTGCTTCATTATTATTATTATTATTATTATTATTATTAAGCATCAATATATATATACATATATACTGTACATTCTATATATTTAATTATATTAGTCTGTATTATATGACATTTCATTATATTACACTACATTGTTCATATTGCAATATATTATATAACCATACACATTATATACATATATAACTATATATATAAATAAAGTATAATCCTATCCCATATACAAAATAACTGTAAAGGTAAAAATGAGATAAATAAAGTGCAATGATGGAAATATTAAATCATGCAATGCAGACAGGTGATGTTTGATGACGTGATGTTTGATGATGTGATGTTTGATGACGTGATGTTTGATGACGTGATGTTTGATGACGTGATGTTTGATGATGTGATGTTTGATGACGTGATGTTTGATGACGTGATGTTTGATGATGTGATGTTTGATGATGTGATGTTTGATGACGTGATGTTTGATGATGTGATGTTTGACGATGTGATGATGTGATCAGACTTTGTCATCAGTCTACACACAAACAGGACAGCAGGGTCAGAGGTCACGTGTTTACATACCTGTCACACGTGGCCTTGCACAGATCGGACACGACAGTTTGAAAGTCCGGGTTTTCTATTTGTTCACACTTCAGTTTGTCTAACAGTGACTGTCCGTGATATGTCAGACACTGCCGCAGCAAGTCTTTGTCCATGTTTATTCTCTCTCTTGTCTTCCAGGACTCGCTTCACATCCTGTTTTTATTTTCTGATTCTCTTCAGCTGTAAAAACAAACGCAGCTATGCTATGCTATGCTATGCTATGCTATGCTATGCTAACCCTCTGGCGGGAGGTATTTTAGAAGTCACTATATTCGTTATAAAAATAAATAAATAACAACACGATAATACGCTAGTTTAGCTTTTGCAAAAGTTCCCATATTTTCTGTTACACTAACGCACTGCTGTCTTTGTTTTTGGACCAAGTTACATCAAAAGGTCCATCACTCAGTTCCCAGTGCATAGCCATACTCATGAACGAGAGCGCATGCGCAGATTGTGTTACATTGAAAGAGTCGACGGAAACAAATTCTACCTCGGAACTATAGTTGTATACAATAGATAGATAGATAGAAAATTAACCACAAAACCGACGCCCCCCTCCCATACATACATATTAACCTGAAAAAAGATTTAAAGAATCCCCCTAGATGAATCAAACTTAAACCTGTGTAATTAAAAATAGACTTACACAAGAAATGAACATAACCCGTGCAGGGATAAAAATATGTGTGTAACTTAAAGCAAGAACCTATAAACTACATAAATATATAGATATATAGATATTATTTTTATTCTCTTATTAATTTAGACTTTCCTGTATGCACTTTATATGCTATTATATTATTTTAATCCCTCATGCATTTGATTTAAACGTGCTACTGTTCTAAATACCTGACTTCTTTGTACATTTGTCTTCTTTAAGTAAAAGTAATAAAGTATCTTGGACACACAAAACCATTAGTTAATTTAAAAAGAAGGACATGATGGAGAAGGAAACAATTTATTCGGTGGTTTGTAAATGTGTAATCCAAATTAGCCATGCATAGACGTTAAAGCAACACCAGGAAGCATTTTGGCTTTAGGTGTGTCAGGGTGTAACTTAATAATTACTAGATTAACGAGTTAATTTATTTACACAAGCCTTTCAGAGTGAGTCTCATATAGCCTACTTCCACTCCCTTTATTGTGAGCTTTTGCCGATATTAAAAAGTAGATACAAATGTCGTTATTTACCAGCTGGGACTTTACATTATAAAAGGGGGTAGTGGCAAAAATGTCAGCCCTAAAAATAAAATGAACTGGCCCTGACTGACTACTAGTTTAAATTCCTGCCAACATAAGTAACGATAGGAAAATTTTATTTCAAATTTGAATATAGGTGTTACTACTCATTACTAGATTATCTTATTATTAATCTAATGTTTTCGAGGGAGCCCCATACATTTCAAATCCATTTTTTTTTTCTGAACTTTTTTGAACATTGATTTAATTGCTGCAAAAGTAATTATATAACAAGCTGGGGCTATGATGCATTTTGTTTCTTCACAGAGACGTTGTCTCTGTCTCCTGCCCAGGGACTACAGATGTAAATTATCTTATAGCTAACTCTGGTACAGCTAGTTGGCTGTACACTGTCCCTGTCAAAAAAACAAATAAATAAAATAAAATAAAAGAGGAAGAGAACAATGTCAGCCCTTATTAAGATATAAATTGGCTCTGACCAACACCTTCATTTTGTATTACATTTTAATTCATGAGACAATGAGATTATTTGAACTCTGGTAATTCCTGCCTAGAATGACTTTGAAATATGACCTTTATATGAATAGGTCTTAATTACACTCACTCTAATACCCTCACAATATTCCCAGGGGCAATAAAGATGCACTTTGTCTAAAGTGTCAAATTATTTGCACACAACAATGGGCAGCTCTAAATGTAATCTGAGCTTTCAATGGAGTTTCTTAGAGGTGTCAATAATTCCCATGCTTTGAAATTGGAGGATCAACTGGCATAGCATAAACATTGTGTGTTGCTCACTCCTCTCTTCCAATGCATTTTACCAGCAAACATTTCAATAAAACAATGGAAATTTGTTCATAAAGAATATAGCATGCAGAGCTGAATTACAAGAATCGTTATTAATAACTTTTGCTTTTATGCTCTAAAATAAAATAGGATATACTTGATTTCCTGCTCGTTTCTCCTGTCATAAACACATCCGTCAGGATGTTGTGTATATATATATATATCTGTTGGTGAGAAAGTGTCTGGTAAAATGAAAGCAACACCATATGCAATTAGAAAGTCAAACAATCATCAAAGTAAAAATCAGCGTTGGATCTCAGAATGTGAATCGTCATCCTTTGAGAAAAGGTTCATTTTTTTGTGCTCATTCTACAACCTTAACAGTAATGACTGACTACAATTGTACCTCAGCAGTGAGCAAATTTCCCTCCATGTGTGAAGGAGGAGTTATTCACATGCTAAGTTCAACCTGCAATAACAGACTGAATACTCGTCTACACCTGGGTAAGTGAGGAGTAACACCATCAGCATGGACATGGACAGAAAACTGTTTTATTGGATATTCATGCTTGGATATTTACATCTATC